TACTTGGTCATGGTGTCATACAAATTACATACATCCATTAATTCCTTACTTAAAAATGATTGGTGGACTAAAATGTACACCCACCAAATTACAGCCAATAGGAGAAGAGAACAGTCAGTCAGCACAGCACCCCAACTTATGTTTTCCTGCTGGATATTATTCTCCATTCCGTTGTTAAGGAAGCGATAATACTGGAAATGTTATGATGGGCATTGTAGTCGCATCTCAGAGTTCTAATTAGCACAAAAACAAATGTCTCCAGGGACCCTCCCAGGTGTGGCAGAGGCCCCTGGGACCCCATATAGAGGCGAAGAAAGGGCACCTGAGACTCCCAGGTGCAGCAGGGGCTCCTGGGACCCTCCCAGACACGGCAGGAGACCCTGGGATATATGCTGCATTGGCCCCATGGGACACTCCTAGGTCTGGCGGGGAACCCTCTAGGGGCAGCAGCGGGATGGGACCTCCCATTTCGCAAGGGTGGCGATGCCCCCAGGGAACCTCCCAGGGTAGGCCGCTTCCCCTGGGACCCTCCCAAGAATGGGAAGGGGCCCAGGGGTGGCGGGATCGCAATGGAATCTCCCAGGGGCGATTGGAGCCCCTGGGACTCTCTCAAGGGCGGGGCAGGCCCCAGGGACCCTCCCAAAGGCAGCGGGGGTCCCTGGGACCCTTCCAGTATCCACGGAGGCACCTGGGACCCAGGGACCATCCAGGGCGAGAGTGGGGGCCTGGGTCCCTCAGGGGCGACGGGGACCCCTAGGACTCTCCCAGATGCAGCATGAGTCCCAGGAAACCTCCCAGGGATGCCGGGGAGATGATAAGGAAGTGATAATACTGGAAATGTAATGATAGGTGTTGTAGTCACATCTACCAGAGCTCTAAATAGCAGAAAAGCAACTGCCCCCAGGGACCCTCCCATGTGCGGCGGGGACACTCCCAGAGGTGGCTGGGCCCATAGGACTCTCCCAGGGGCTGCTGGGGACCCAGGAGACCCTCACAGGGGCTGGGGGCCATAGGAACCCACCCAGGTACGGTGAGGACCTCTCCAGGGGCGTTGGGGCCCCAAGCACCCTCCCAGAGTGACAGGTGCCCTGGGACCCTTCGGGACCCAAGGTACCATCCCAGGGGCAGTGGGGGCCACTGGGTCCTCCAAGGGGCGGCAGGGGACCCTGGGACTCTCTCAGATGCAGAGGTCCCAGAGAACCTCAGGGATGCCGGGGTCTACTGGGAACCTCCCAGGAGCGGCAGAGTCCCATGGAAACTCCAGGGCAACTGGGGCCCTGGGACGGTCTCAGAGCAGCACAGGACCCAGGAACCCTCCCAAAGAGGCGGGGACCCTGGGACCTCCAGGGGCCGCACTTCCAGGGCCCTATAGCATACTTGGTCGTCATGTCGTACATATTACATCGTCCATCAATTCCTTACTTAAATGTGATTGTTGGACTAAAATGTGTACCCACCAAATTACAGCCAATAGAGAGAACAGTCAGTCAGCACAACACCCCAACTTATGTTTTCCTGCTGGATGTTATTCTCCATTCCGTTGTTAAGGAAGTGATAATACTGGAAATGTTATGATGGGTGTTGTAGTCCCATCCAGAGCTCTAAATAGCAGAAAAACAACTGCCCCATGGGACCCTCTCCCATGTCCGGGGACACTCCCAGAGGTGGCTGGGCCCATAGGACACTCCCAGGGGCTGCTGGGGACCCCAAGGGACCCTCACAGAGGCGTAGAAGGCCATAGGACCCACCCAGGTGCGGTGAGGACTCTCTCAGGGCGTTGAGGGCCCCAAGCACCCTCCAGAGCGACGGGTGCCCTGGGACCCTTTCGGGACCCATGGGACCATCCCAGGGCAGTTGGGGGCCACTGGGTCCCTCAAGGGGCAGTGGGGTCCCCTAGGACTCTCCAGTTGCAGCAGGAGTCAGGGAAACCTTCATGAAGCCAGGGTCTTCTGGGAACCTCCCAGGAGCAGCAGAGTCTTCATGGAAACTCCCAGGGGCAACTGGAATCCTGGGACGGTCTCAAAAGGGCAGCACGGATAGGAACCCTCCCAAAGAAGGCAGGGACCCTGGGACACTCCAGGGCCACTTCCATGGAGCCCTATAGCATACTTGGTCGTGATGTCGTACATATTACATCATCCATCAATTCCTTACTTTAATGTGATTGGTGGACTAAATGTATACCCACCAAATTTCAGCCAATAGGAAGAACAGTCAGTCAGCACAACCCCAACTTATGTTTCCTGCTGGATATTATTCATTTCGTTGTTAGGAAGCGATAATACTGGATAGTGGTATCGTACATATTGCATTCTTCAGTAATCTCT